TATAGTTAATAATTATATAATGACATCTTATAATAATTATAATATCAAAAAATTATGATATGTGAATATTATTTTAATATATGTAAATTTAGAGTGTTTGAAAATAAATATACTTAATTAATAAAAACCTTATTGAATCATACTCTATATTGAATCGGATAATTACATTACTATAATATGTCACAGTTTTTAATTACATGTTATTTGTCTCTTTAGTCACATGATTGTATGGATATAACTTTATTATATTGGTTTCCTTAATGGTTAAGCCAAAGACTATAGAAGATTTTCTAAAGTTATACCGTGAGAGAAGGGAAAATACAAGTTTGAAAATTTACTCCTAACAAAAGCTATGATCTTAAGTTAATAGATAGCACAAAGTCAAGGATTATTAAATTAAAAATTATGACACAAAACGAAAGGAGTTTTTCTTAATTACCCTTCATAATTTCATACTCTATCACGGTACTTTATAATAACAAAGTTAATTATTAATTTCTTAGACAGTATTTTCACATATAAGCCGATTAGACTTTAAAAACTCTCATTTTTTTCTAATATAAAACAATAGTGATAATATATTGTAATACTTTTTAAAAGCTCGAACTTTATATTTAACGAAAATTAATACCACCTTCTTATAGTTTTATATACACGTATATATCTACGGTGGATTTTATTGACAGCTTCGTTATTAAATAAATAAACTATGTAATGGGGGTGCTGTGTTTGAAATCTCCTTCAACTGATATTTTACACATTCTTAGAATTATTATTAATGGAATTATTTTTTTATATATTTTACAAACATGTATTTTTTTAATTAAAAAATATTACAAATTATTCTGTTCAGGAAAAACTTGTGTTTAATATATATGTATTGAAAAAATAAAATCTTAAAAAATATCTTAAATTTGAAGGCCACACAATACAAACATACAAATGACGTGTCCTGTCTTAAAAAATGTTTATATTTATTGGAGCGATTAAAATATTAAATTGGACCAATTTTTCACTCTATTTATGTATGAAAATGAAACGGGTGAAGCCATTTTTAGAAGTGTCATCCATCTCCTTCACTCAGAAAAAATAAATTAGAGGTCACATCACACCCAAATTTTAATTGAACATATAATAATTCTAGACATTAAAATTTATCCAAAGATTGTAATTAATTGTTTTATTTTATTTTTCATATTCATATATAAATATACATGAGTTATTTTCATAGCATGATGAATAATAAAGTATGATTACATCATGATTAGTGTAACAAATAAAAGTAGTGCAAGTTGCAAAAAGCGTGAAGAAAGCCCTCATCAAAATGTCTCATACAATATAGTAATTAACGATATTTGCTGCAATATGATGTATAGAAGGACGAAAGAAGAAGATTTAATTATAAGAATTAAAATGTTAACATGTTATAAATTAAGTTTTAAATAATTTTTTTCATCAATTCCGTATTGTCGAATAATACTTTATAAATTAAAAATTTAGTTATTTATTTTTTGAAATATTATTGTTCCTCTATACTATTTTTTTTATAAATATTTTTCTATGAAATTGATCACCGTATTTAATACATTATTTATTTTTATTTTTAAAAACATACTTCGCAAGAATAAGAAGAGAGAGCATTTAAAACTTTTGTACTGACTTTTAAATATTATAATTAATATATAGCTATGATTCATTAATTTAAATTTGTAATGTGAAACAAGATAGAATATTGAGATTTATATAAAAAAATAGTTTATGATTTGGTTAGGTTTATAACAGCTTAATTATATTTAGGATGTTTCGTTATACTTTAAATATTTGAAGTACAACTTTTCTGCGAACAACATTGTTTGTATGTTACTTTATAATTAAAAGAAATACTTTCCGAAGTTAAGAATCAATAGAAAAATAAGGAAAGTGTACTGCTTAATTCAACCAACTTTAACATTAAAGGTGTCATTTTTATAACTTTACAATGTACATTACGCATCATCTTCTCTTTTAGTTAATTTTTCCTTTCGTTAATTCATCGTTAAGCTTCTATCCAAAGTTGAAATTTTCAATGTCTCAAATTTTTAATTTATCAAACTCTAAAATCTTGTAATTAAGTGAATCTCTAAGTTAATATGTGTACTTTATTAACCTGTGATAAATTAGATCAAATTCAATTTTTTTTAATTTGTTAACAAATTAGTCAAACTGTATTAAATTATCAAATAACCGTTTTGACAATACTATATTCTTCATTCTAAATTATCTCTTGTACAATAATTATTATTTTTCTTTTTCAAAATATTCTTAGTTTCAATTTTGTTTCAATTTCTAATAATATATATATTAATAATTATACACAGCGAAAAGTTTGTATCTATGCAAGAAAAAAAGTTGTTTATTAAAATTTTGAAAATAATAATAGAAAGGCATTCTACACAAACAAGACTGAACTTTTCATTTTGCTTTTATATAAAAGAAATCACATTATACACTTAACAAATAAAACGTTAAGGAAAATATTTTTTAATTAAATAATGGTATTTAGTTATTAAACATAATTTGGAAATTTTTCCATCGTTTCTCAAGACTCTTGTAATTATAATTTGCATAAACTATTTTTCATCAGAACAGCGCATCTTTCTTCTTACCAGGGATTGAGAAGCTTACAAGTTGGATTTTAAAAACCAAAACTCTGTTAAGATTTCATCAGCAGAGAGAATTATTTAAGTAAAATATTAATAAGTAAACATTTTTTTCCAGATAAAGTAGTTACAAATATGTGATAAAAAAAAGTTTAATATATTTTGATCCATCGATTTATAAGATGCCGTTCAAAGTTGTTTCCCTTTTCTTCAAAAGTTCACTAATGTCCTATATTTTGCAAAAGTTAGTTTTTTTTGCTTGCAGTATTAAAAAGGCTAATGACAGACTTGTTCTGCTGCCAAAAACTTGACGACGTGTACAATTATTATTGACGTGACACTGTGAGATTATTTGATGTCAATGAAAAAATGTCACGTGACAGATCCCTTTCCACCCAAAATTTGGGTTTCACAATTACAATATCAATTTCTTTCCTCTCCAGCATTGACACCAATTTCTTCTGATTTTCTTCCAGCATCAAAAACATTATTGCTAAAGTTGTCTTGAGGTTTGTCATTTCATTCCTCAGAATGGCAATCTTAGCATCCATTTTTTAATGCGACATTCATCTATCCATTTCCTAAAATTCTGATCCCTTTCCTCCAAACTTCCCTCTCAGCAAATCTAGTAGACGGAAAAAGTTTGATGCAATCAAACGTTATAGGTAATAACACATAAATCATTAAATGAAATAAAGAAAATAGTGTATATTATATATTTAAAGAACAAAAATTCACCCAGAGGACTTTATACTCTAATTGCATTATCTAATAACACAAAACCCTCTTTCCTTGCTCTGTTAAAAAGTGTGAGCGAAATTAAACACAAAAATCCAGAAATAGAAACTCTAAATTGCATTTCTTTCTCGCGAATTCATCGTTCTCGTGCAAAATAGAACTAGAAACTCATTTACATCTCGAGGACCGAATTGTAGTGTCATGACGTTCTCCTTTAAGCAACAATAGCGCCACTGTTGTGAATACCTGAATCATGCTTCCACGACAATTCGTGGTAGAACCTTCATTTGCAGAGAAAGCCCTTGTCCATTCTATAATTGTAAAACCCTAAATTTGGGTGGAAAGGGATCTGTCACATACCATCTTCTCATTGACTTCAAATAATCTTACAATGTCACCGTCAATCATAATTATACACGTCATCAAGTTTTTGTCAGCCAAACAAATATGTTGTTAGTCTTTTTAACGTCGTAAATAAAAAAGATTAACGTTGCCAACAAAGCAAATATGCCGTTAGTCTTTTTAATGTCGTAAATAGAAAAGATTAATGTGAATCATTGTTTTTACAAAATATAGGACGTTAGTCAACTTTTGTAAAAAAAAAAAGACAACTTTCAACTATTACTACAAGATACCAAAATATATGCTCTAACCAAAAAAACCAAAAAGAATAATATGGATGAAGAAGTGGAATTGTTTTAAAGATGATAATATTTAAAAATAAAAGTACTTAAAAAGATTATTTAAATCAAAATAGTGACGGAGAGTTTGACGTTGGGTTTGAGACAGTAGAGTGAATAAAATGGCTCTTGGAAGCAGAGATTGGAAGCAGAGAGAGAGAAAAAACAACTTTTTGTTTGCTTTAATCGAAGCCCTTTTCTTTTGCCGACCTCGTTCTTTGTCACACCTAACCCTCTTTCTTCCCATTCATTAACCTTAAATTAACATCTTAATTATTACTCTTAATTTAAATATACGTATTTTCTTTTTTTAAACCTTGAATGCCCTCGCCTCCTCCACCAACAATGCTAACAGCCTCGGGGCACTTTTGGGAATGAACTTCATTTTGAATCTCTACCCACCACAAATCACCGTCTCCTACTCACTTCCCTATACTACTCCCATCCCATATAATATCAATATTCAATTAATCATCATTCACCCATTATATTAAAAAATAATTACTATAAAATATCACCAACACATAAATCATAGGGGTTCAAGGGCTCCACCTCATCATTACTGCTTTTAAAAATAAAACCAAATAAAAAATACTTGATAGAAGAAAAATACAATGGAGTGAAAATTCTTGTGAAAAAATACCACACTACTATGCCCCTCTATTTTACTTTCTTTATATATATATATATATATATATATATATATATATATATGCATGTAATATTATTTCTAATGTAAGCTTTTAGTTATGTCCCTATCTCAAAATGTTCCATAACTTCCATATACAACATCTAATAATAATGTTGATGAGAAATTAATCATATCGGAATCGAGTTTAAAATTTCCAGAAACGTTGAGTGTTGCTTTAGTTATGTTTCTTCATATGGCAGTCAAAATGAAATGGAGGAGCTACGCAAACCTACAAAAAAACCTCCATCTTTGAAAGAATTAAATGAAGTCATTCCATTAAGCAAAAATCCACTAGGTCACTTTCCCTTAAGAGAAATAGTCCTTGGCTCAATACCCCTAAAGAGGACAGTGTGTCCTATATTTTCATGCCTATGCTTTCATTCAAACTGTAACAAAACTGATGGAAAGCAGAAACACTGCCATTTCTTTTTATACATTCAAGAGAAGTGATTAATGTACAAAAAGCAAAAAATAATAATAATAATAAAGTTTAGAAATAAATTAAAAAAAAAAAAACAAAAGAGAGAAAGAAAGGGTAAAGATTAAACCCACCTTTTCTCTTGAAAACTCACTCAGGGACCCCAAGCACCCCAAATCCTTTCTCCGATGAAACTAACAAACCTTCTCACCGACCCTTTCTCCTCACCTTCACCACCGTCAACGCCTTCACAGACTTCAACCTCTCCGCCGGCACCTCCTCCACTACCGCTCCCCTCGGGGAGCGCTTCGGCCGGCGAAGAGTGAAACTCGGAGCGAGTCAACTCGGGAGGCTTGGCTTTGGAGCCCCTCTTGTTTCTTTTATCCTTTCTGGAGAGTTTCGCCGTGTGGGTGAGAGAGTCTTCGAAGGCGTCGATGATTTCGTGGATGAGTTGGTGGTTAGGAGAGGAGTTCCAGCGCACCCAGTAGCTCATGTAGCAGCGGAAGCAGGAACAGTTAAAGAGAGGAGGATGATCGCCATCCACGACCACCTTAGGGTTCCTGCGGTGGTGGTGGTGGTTGTTGTTGGAGAAGTGGTTGTTGTTGGAGGAGGAGGAGGAGCAAGAGAGGAGGTAAGCGAGAACTTCCCGGTCCTCCGGGGAGAGGGAGAGAGTGAGGGTGAGGATGGCGGAGGGGAGGAAGGAGAGGTGGTCGGAGATGGTTGGCGGCGGCGGAGAGGAAGAGGGGGAGGGGTGGACGGTTCCTTTACGGTAGAGCTTCTTCATCGTTTGAAAGAGAGAGAGAGAGAAAGAAGAGAACAAAAGTTTGAGGTTTGAAGGGTTGATGAACTTTTATTATTATTCTGATTCTCTTCGATTAACTATTAACTATTAAGAGAGAGAATGCGAATATGAAAAGGAAAATAGGTAGAAAGGCATCGGGTGCGGCGCGGGTGTTGGTGCGACCCAGCCGTATAGAATTGGACGCTTGTGATGGGTTGGGTCCCACGGCTGTGATTTGTCCCTGTCGATGCTTCGACATTTGTGGGACTTAATTACTCTGTTTCTCTCTTTCTCCAAGTTGGTATGGTCTGCAACTACCCCAAGTACATACTTTCATTAGGGTTTTTGCCCACTTTCTATTTTTAATTTCCTTTTTATTCAATAAAATGTTTAATAATAACCAGTTTTTGTTCTAAGTAATTTACTATAATCAGCTGTAGGCTTTAGTCCAATACTAATTATTCACTACAAAATCAATAACACTGAATTTTATGACAACCACCCAAGAAGGGATTCATGGAGTTAATGTCTACCAAACATTCTCGTATGCAAAATGTAATCCAAACATTCTTTTTCACAAAAACTATTTATCATATCTTCAACAAAAAATAACTCATTCGTTAAATTATCTTTTTAAAAAATAAGAATAGACCACAATTGAACAATAGTTTGCTACTAATAATTGAAAAATAAAAGGAAATGAGTGTTTTTATTTAACATAGACTATAATTTCTAAAAATATATATATACGGTATATAATTTCTAAAATTTAGACAGTATCTAATTCTTGATTCTGTCCTTGAAAGTAGGAACACGCTAGAATCTAACGATAAAATTTTCGAAAAGATAATATTATTTATGTACTAAAAACAATAAAAGATTTTTCTTTTACTGAAATGAAAAGAATAGTATTTTTTATATGCTTGAATCTTTTAATATTTAAAAATGTTTATATGTATATTTAAAAAATAAAAATTCACGGGACCAAGACTCCTAGGAACTCAAATATTTGTTTGTATGCTAATCCAACGTGATATTTTTTATTTAAATAAAAATATAAAAGAAGAATGTGCTAAAGTAACCGACCGTAGATAAGTTTTCCATCCATTTTATCGTGTGCATAGCATAAATAAAGTATTAGTCAATTTTACATTAGAGTTTATTAATTATGTTTCGGGGAGGAACCTGTCAAAAGATCCTTCAAAATCAATAATTCGGTAATTTAATAAAAGTAATAAATATGTAGTAAATGTAATTTATCTATCACTTATCTTTGATCGGTATTTATAATTTTCGCCATGAGTTTGAGATTAGTAAAAGTTAATTACTACTCAATCAGTCCAATTACTCTAATCGCCATTTACCTTATTCATGGTCTACCGGCCGGTCTTAGTACTTTCGTCTAGTAAGATTGATTCGGCGTTGTTTCTTTAGACCGTCCGGTCCTTATGATACAAAAATTACATTTTAATTTATTTAAAAACAAAGGGTGTCTTTAATTAATACACTATTAGGATATTTCAAATTTCCATTATCGATTAAAATTACGAATTTGATCTAAAATAAATTAACCAGAAAAAGTTCTTCGAAATTATAATTGATTGTTATGCAAACAGAATAGTATCCAATTTTATGAGTTGAATTTTGTTTTATACATCCACGCGCAAACTTTTCCTTAGAATAGTCGATTTTTGAAAATAAAGAACACTAAAAAAATGTTAATAAATGCTAACTGTTAAACATACGCAAGTGTGGCAATATATTTGTGAAGACATGTAGTTGACTATGACCATGCAGCATGCAGCACGCACGAATGAAACTATACTTTTTTTCAACGTTATGTTTGTATAATAATCGAATTCATACACGATGAAGACTAGTTTTGATCCAAAAATAATATTTTTCCGGTTATAATATGGTTTACTTTTATAATAAAGTTATTTTTATTCACAATATATGAATTTTAAGCTTTACTTAAAAAGATTTGAGTTTATATTTTATTAAAATTAAGGTGAATTTCTATTTGAAAAATAAAACTTTACTTTTATTGATAAAATTAGAAGAGGAATAGCGTAAATTGATTTTGTTTGAATTGTCATAATTTTTTCCTCCGTAAGTTCAAAGAATACGTAGATTTGAATTAAAAGATCAACCTTTGGAATGCGCATGAAGGATCGTTGACCAGTTTGTGACTGTGCGTTACCGTCGTCTTTTAACAAAATCTACTGTTCACACCGCAATCATTTGGTGAATTGGTATGTTCTTTCCAATTTCCAAAAATAAATAATATATTTTAATTTCAAATATTTTTATTTCTACTTTATATAATGTTTTAGAGCAATAAAATACAATTTATTGCATCATTATTTATTTGAGTCCTTCAATAATCTTGAGAGATTGCAGAAGTACTTATGAAGTTAAATTAATCTCTAGTATAGTAGTAATCGGCAATCTGGCATGTCTATCTGTGCTATTTTGTGTTTGTTTTTTAAGTTTGAGCTTTTATTATATGTAAGTTTTTCTTTGAATAAAAGTTAAAATTGATGTCTAGTTACAATGTTTTGTATTCTTTACCATTTTTACTCATTTAAAATAATTAAAAAAATTGAATAAAAAGCATTTATTAAAGTCTACTTATTTTTTTAGGAAAGACGTTGGAAAAGTTAAACTTTAGAAAGTTATGTTTCAATATCACGTTCTATCTTTTGGTAGTTGATAAGTAAATCATCAATCTTGTTTAAACAATTTTCAATATAGAATAACTGTAGTTTGTCTTTTTTATTAATATTTGAACTCAATATTGGTAAGTTAGTTTAAACAAAATATTTTTTTTAGGTTTTTTATTCTTAATTAAATATTTTTTATATTTGATTATTCTATCATCGTACATTTAGTCATATATTTAACAGTTAGTTTTTATTATGATTCACGAATAAGTTACCATCAAAACCAGACGATTGGAGAATTGGATCGATCACGGTTAACAATCAAGACAATTGATTTTAATATTGACTAACTTAGAAGTAAAGTGTGATTATTCACAACTTTGTCATAATTAGGTCAATACTAATTATAAGTCTATCCTAAAATCTATAAATATAAGTTTAAAGTAGAAAGATAGATGATATGCATATACTGTACCATTAATATTTGAACCGTTAAGATTGAGTTTACTTTAACATTAAAGTGTCTTGTGTAGGTACTCAACAACTTTGACGAACAGGTACAAGAGGACTTAGAGTTGAAGACAATTTTTGGACCCTTGAACAACTTACTGAACGTTGGATTGTTGATCTTGATCATACATCGTGAAATAACTATATTATTTTACTACTTCAAAATGGGATGTTTTTTCAACCATTTTTAATTTTTCGTGGAGTGAAAATCATTTTCAAATAGAGGAAGTTATGTGTGCTGAAGTTTTATTTATGCTTACAAGTTGGATGAAATATAAAACTGGAATGATTAGGCTGGTCATGATAATTTAGATTTTGGTGATAAATTTTGTATGGGGTTTTTAAATCGGAAAGTGGTTTCTATTTTTTGATAGTGAGATGTTGCATGTTGAATCAAAATCATATTGAATTGTAATTTGAAACTTGATAGAACAGTGAAAGCTAATTTATTATTTTGAATGATTTGTAAAATCTAATTAAAATGGTTTAAATATGAAATTTGCGTAGTAGACAGTTGAAATTAGATATTTTAAACTTGTCAGAAAAAATATAATTGATGAAATATGTTTTTGATGAGTTTCGAAAATAATGAGTTATTACATAAAATTTATTTTTTAGTATTTTCGCTAAAATAAAATCTTTCTCACTCAAGCAAGAATGTGAACAAGTTAAATGTCTCACCACTTGATGATTTTCGTTTAAATAAAAATGAAATTGAGATGTTGGTTTTGTCTATGTGGTGTTATTGGTCAAACAACATTTCCAAATGTTAGTTATTGTTTTAATTTAGTTATGAAAGGAATGAGGTTAAATTATGAATTTGAATGATGAAAGATTTAGTTAAATGTCAATACACTACATTGATGATTAAACCGGAAGTTTTAGAATAAAAGTAAGCACAGTTGTAAACATGGTTGATTAGCATTAGTCCAGAACATGCCCTTTTAGCTAGAGAAAAATAATTTAGAATTTAAGGAGTTTTATGATGTTTTATTGATGAAAAAGAAAAAAAAAAGGCATGGAGATGTGTATGTAGAAGGTAGATGAAATGAAAAGGCATTGGATGCTTGGAAAATAATAGGCATAAGATGCAGGTCTGACGTTAAAAAAAGGGTTGCTTGATATGTGTCAGGCACTTCAATGTCTTCATTATCATTTATTCCAGAGAGTGAGCCCCCCTGCCCAATCCCATCTCTTCGCTACCCACACTCTTAAAACCATATAAATTCCCATTACGTACTTTCGATCATAACTAAACCCCACTCACCAGGGACCAACATTCACCACAAAATCAAAATCATCTTCTACCAACGCTTCATACTACTGCCATCTCGTAAAATGCCGCACTTCGACTTTGGACAAGGCTGTGCTTCTTCACAAAACCCAAAAAGAAAATACCCATCACTCACATTTTCACTATTTTTACCACTCCTACTTTCTACATACTTTCTCATTTTTCTGCATTATTCACCGCCACCCTCTCGTCTTATTTCAGAAAAGTTCCAAATTCCAAAATTTACGCTCAATTCCATGATCATTATTGCCCATGTTTTCATCAATAATAATTATGTAAGAAAAAGCAAACATCTCTGTTTTAAAGTAAATTGATCCAAGAGTCGTACCTATTATATCCCACTGATGAAAAGATGATAATAGCACGCATTCCGATGATCGTTTCAAAAATTTCAAGTTGAGATTGATTCTAGTATAGTTTGTTTAAAAAATAAATTATAATAAACTCAATATAAAATTCTTCATTTAATGTAACAGCTATTTAAAACTATTTAACATATTAGTATTTATCCTAAATTACATCAATAGGGTGTGTTTCGCAAACAGCTACCAGGACAGATGCATGAGGATGAAAGCGCTGTGTTGCAGCTTCTGCGTCAATTTATGAGTTCACGCAAAAATATTAAAAAATTAAAAGTAGTGTATGAAACGTGCTACAAAACACACATCAAAAACAATTTAAATCCTTTAAAACATTACCATGAATTTAGATTATATTATTCCAGGCTGAAATAACTATTGGGAAGAACTCTGTAGGCGTGCCTTGATCCATGACTCGAGATACCGCAGCTCCTCATTGTTTATGGAGTGGGCAAGACCAGGATAAGCCTGCGGAGTGCCAACGAAACAAATGTCAACGTCGATGGACAGAAGGTGGTTTATTGGATAAATAACTGAATTGTTGAAAACATAGAATTCACCTTAAACTCACAACCAACGCCATTTTTTTCAAGGAAGGGGGGACCTGCATGTCCAGCTTCAAACAATACCGTTTTATCAACCATTCCATGGCACCATAGTATGGGTGTCTGTAGATATTTACATAAAATACGTCAAAAACAATAAAACAAATGACAACTGCATTCCGCAAATTCACTTGAGTCAAATATTATTGTAGGATATTAAAAACCCAATCGAATGATGCCAAGTTATTCTGGTGTCATGCTCAGGATACACCTAAAAGTGATTCTAATTCTAATAACATAAAGAGTTAAAGACTATGAAGTGTCATTGTTACAATTTCCAAGGAAAATTGAATATCGACAACATCAAGCCCCGATGAGAAAAACCAACATAGCTGGCACCCATGCTTGTGAAATGGAACTTCTGGATTTAGGGAGTTGGACTCCGAAAACTCCTTCATGTAATGAATAGGGGAATTAATTCATGAATAAAACTCGTTACACAACAGATTTTGATAGAAAAAACAGAGTAGAAAGAATATTTTGCGTGTCTTTTCTTGAGCCCCCAGGCAAGGCATAAAAGCAAAAAGTGGCTATAGTACTCTGGCGTGAAAAGTTGCAGCAAACTTTTCCAACCAGCCAAATGCCACATAAGCAAATTTCTAATATGGAAAATGAAAGATAGAAAAATGAGTTTTATAATGTGAATTATATAGTAAAGAAACTTTACAACAATAGAATGTTGTAACAATACGCCCTGTTCAATTATCCTCAAGGACATAAATTGGGAAATTTCTTCAAGAGATCATAGTAGAATTTCCAAGTATCTTGGTCATTAGGTAAATTCTTCCACTTGACCAACAGTTTACCAGTAGCGATGCTACCTCGCTAGACCATTTTTCTGTCCAATATTATCCTCTGGATCCCCTTAACTGAATGGTCATGAACGTGTAAAAGCAAAGGGTGAATGACAACAGAGTGAGGGTCTATACGGCTCTTCAATTAGTAACCACTTCATAAGGAGTAGTGTGTAGGGCAGAGTGATAGTTGGTGTTGTACCACCACTTAGCAAGCGACGCCCACTTAGACCATGAAGAGGCTTTGTCTGAACACGTGCACTGAGGATGTCTCTAACCGCATGTTAACAACTTTGGTCTGACCATTCACTTTGTGGATGACATGAAGTGGATTTGTTCAAAGAAACTCCTTGGACCTGGAAAACTTTAGCCCAGACGTCCCTAAGGAAGATATGATCCCTGTTGCTAGAAATAGAGCTAGGGAGACCATGTAATTTGAAGATATTGTCCAAAAACAAAACATATAATGCAGTAAAAGGATGTGACAAGTGAGCCTATTTATTTATCCATCCCTAGAAAAAGCACTTCTTTGTCATGAGAAGGTGGGAAGCCTTCAATGAAATCCATGCTAATATCATCCAGCATACCTCTCCAGAAAAACAGAGATTTCATTGTGGAAGTTGTGAAGTCTTGATCAGAATGTTCCCTGCAGATGAGTCACGCAATCATTTCAATATTATAAGTTTCAGATCAGAATTGGCACCAATAAATAATTTGCCTTTGCATCTAAGTTCTCATCTATGCCAAGAGTATTTCAGATGCTTGTTAGGATCCCAGATAAGCTCCTGAATAAGTAATTGAATAGTATCATCAGCAGACCAACTGTTAGGTTTGCTCCAATAGCTCCATCTGAGAATTATTAAGCATCATTGGAAAGCTCCCGACTTTTGAACAACATATACTATGGCTAGAAGCTCCCTCTCGTATATTGACATAGCTTAGTGCTTAGGACTCAAGGATTTGCTAATGTAAGCAATGGGGTGCTTATCTTGCATTCAAACTGCACCAAATCCAGAACCTGAGGCATCTGTCACCACAATGACAGTCTTAGAAAAATTGGGGAGAGCCAGTACCGTGCTAAAATAAGAACATTTTTCAATCCTTGGAAGACAGGCACTATTTGAAAATGTTGTAACATATATGTCAACGGTTTTGCAATTTTACTAAGTCCTTCACCAACCGCGGGTAACAACCAACCAACCCAAAAACCTATGAAACTGCTTTTAGGCCAATCTGGCAGTCCGCCACTGCCTGAATTTATTCATGAATAGGGTAGTTGGACTTTGGAACTTTGGATTTAGGGAGTTAGACTCCGAAAATCCCTTAATCTAAAGAGTAGGGGAACTAATTCATGAATAAAACCAGTCACACAGCAGATTTTGATCGAAAAAACAGCAAGAGTAGAGAGTATATTCGTTATGAATATTTTCTGTATCTTTTTCTGTGTCCCAGGTAACGCATAAAAGCAAGAAGTTGCTACAGTGCTCTGGCGTGAAAAGTTGCAACAAATATTTCCCACCAGCTTAATGCCACATCACCTAATTCCTAATACGAAAAATAACAAATAGAAAATAGCATGAATTTTATAACGTGAATTTAAGTATTGCAACTTTACAGCTATAGAAAATGCTCTAATAGCTTGATACTGGAACGAAATAGAAATATAAGCTGTTATGTGTATTTATAGCCATGGAAGTGGTCTTCTATGTTGATCGGTGTACTTTTGTTTGGATAATTGTTTCAAACTTCGAAAAAAGATAAAGGCAAACTCAATATTTCCACGTAATCCTAGGACCAAGAGAGAGTTGGTACTGAGCCAAACTGGTTGTGATAACCCTTTTATTTTCCCATCCGAAATGATGATAGTTACTCTCAAAGAAAATGAATGGAAAATAGCTAAGCTTGACAAGAAAAGAATCGGAAGAGAAAATATTAAGGTTGGCACACAAGGATTAGTACCTGCTTTGCCTCGGGCGTAATTTGTTCTGTAATAGAAGAATTGAATGGAACCCAACCACTAAAGATTGCACCTCCACCTAAAGTTTTAGGGTACAGTAGAGCACTAGCCAAGGTTAAGGCACCTGAAAAACAATATCACCATAAGAAAACAGTCTATGTATATACACAAGCATGGCCCACTCTTCAGAAGCAGACACATACACTGATCACTGACACACTCAAATAGAAACGGGAAGAAATGAGAGACCTCCTTGACTGAATCCACAGATAAATACATTTTTGGGGTTTACACCAGCAGCTATTTCCCTGTCTATAGTAGCATGCACATTTTGAACAGCTTTAAGTAAACTACTCTCGTCGTTTGGAGATTCCTGACAATAAGCAGAACATTTTTTCAGCAAAAATTTATTAGATCGGCAACATCATCCTGAGCGGGATAAGAGTGACTTCTTCCCAACTCTAGTTGCTCAGCCAGAGCACTAACTTTTTTAGGAATCAAAGCAGTTGAACATAAAACGAAAAAAAAAGGAAAAGAGACCCTCTTTAAGCTTGGTAAACAGCTGGCGCAGCCACGATAAAAATACAAGTAATGCTTTCAGCATAATAATGTTCACCGTCTCACATTTCATAAACGAAAAAAAAATACAATTCAAGCAAACGTAATATTTGTACTTCGAATGGCATTCTGACAGCGCTTCGCAATACAGAAAATGAGGAAAAAGGAGACATAAAATCTCCTAGCATTCTGAAAAAAGGGATAGGATATAGCTTGTTATACCATTTATTATTTTCACTTCAAGATTTTTGATACCGAAACAGACTTATATTTGGAAAACAGAGAGGTTACACAAGAAATAATACAGGAGACAAGAAAACTAAACTTACAGCTGTGACAGGAATCTCGAGAATGTCAAACCACGAAGGCATTACAGAACCATCTACAAAAAGAGCAAATAAAAATAATATATTAATCATCTTTTAAAATGGGAAAGCACGCGGCATCTTCATTGCATTGTAACTAAAGAACAGAGGATTTCAAGACTATCACGACGTCAATAAATCCCATGTAAGTAAATGCGAATATGCAGTATAAACTTGAATTGTAAATACAACAAATGGTACCAAATGGATATAGCGTGCACCTATACGAACAACATTAGCAAAGAAGCATCACTTAGAAATTCTAACTTTGTAATTAACGACACCTAATCATTTCCTTGAACTCACGTAAGCTAAGATCTCCTAAAAACCTAAATTAATATGACAGAGATTGGCCTGTGACTGTGAGGAAAGAGCAAAATTCGTAACACGATAGTGTCCAATCAGGTGAATGAATATTCGTAATGATACGGTTAAAATTTGAGCAGAACATCGGCGATCTCTTGAATAGGTAGAGAAGAGAAGACGTACAGTTGCAAGTAACGGGGGCGGAAGGGGCAGAAGGGAAGGACCATTTGGTGTCTCTGAATTCGGGAGAAGTGAACAAAGTTTTGATGGGTTCGTTGGCTGGGCCGGAGTCACCCAGACCGTGAAGCCACAGAACAAAGCTTCGCGCCCTGGACATGGAGGAGGAAGAGGAATCTCGCTGTGGTGGCTGTGGAAAAGAGGGGTTTATGCTCTTTTTGGGGAAGAACAGTAGAAACAGAATCGTGGTGATTAATAATGTAACGGTAAACTTTATCACCTTCATCTCTCTCACCTCATCTAGGCCCTTCATTGCATTATATGATTATTACAATACTGGTATTTTAGTTTAGTTATTTACAAGCATTTTACTGCTTCAACTTAAGAGAGGTATCGTTATAACTATTTCGATTTTAAGGTACGGTCCCTTGATTTATTTTTCTAGTGAATCGTGTTCACATGTATGGAGGGTTTATTAGAAAATAAATTTGTATACTGTATTTTGCGAGAAATAAATCGTTACAAATATTAAAGTAATGTTTTAATTTGAAACAAAGTTAAATATAAAGAAAATAGTGATGTCTTTTTAGAGTAATTAGTTTCCATTAGAATAAATATATTAATGTATTTTGTTTTAAGTAAAAGTTATGTAACTATTCTATTATATAAATTTATCTCGTAAAAAGAAATTAAAAAGGAGATACCTATATATACAGATGCACATGAATCCCAAACAAATACATAATTCTTTCTTTTGCTCAAACTTATTAAGCATTTCCACTTACAATTTCATCGTTTCAAATGCTTAGACTGTCACACAATAGTTAAATTAAAGTTGAAAATTAATCAAAATAAACTATTGAATAGTGTTTTATAAAACATCATACATTCATTTATCATCATTATAACTATTGTAATAAGTCTAATGAGTCACTCACATTCATATAACATTTTATAAAAACAGTTTCGTTGAGTAATGACAAGACTTGTCAAATGATTTTAAACATTGATAAATGTTTACCTAAAGAGTTTCACTTAGTCAGATTTTACTTACTCAATGACCTAAACTCTTTGAAATATTTTTCACAAGACTCATCTAGTAAGTATAATATAACTTTGAACTCCATGGATGTAAAGTATTTAATTTCACTTAACGACTTACTAACTTGTCTAACAAGTTTACATAATTTCAAAAATTATACATATATCAAATATTCAACTTATTTTATTTAAGTATTTTTTATTTATTTTGTTATGCTAAAATCACTTCATTTAATTCAAAATTGAACTCAATTGATATATCCTAAATGATCAATGATTATACAATCACACTAATATAACAAATAACAAATTTAACAAAAAAAACTTAATAAACATTAATATTCAACACTACTCACGCTTTACAATCCACTAAAACACAACAAATAGATAATTACAACTCATTTAGTTCATAATATTAGTAAAAAAAAAACTAGTTTCCTTTACATAAACTTGAGTATCTAATTCAACTACTCTACTTGAATAAAGAAAACTCAAATGATTTGTATATATCATAATGATCATAAATAGTCAAAAATTCATCTAAGTAAAAAAAAAAAAACTCGTGCAAAGACCTATCACCCTATACAAACATATCTCTAAATAACTAAATAAATTAGTAAAAAATAAATTTGCTCTATTAAAAACTATAATCTGAAAAAATTATTATGTTCTACGTAAATATTTCTATAATGAACTTTGATATTTAAAAAAGGATGAACAAAAATATCAAAATTATATAAAGAATGTAGAAAAAGGAAATAAAATAATTTGTAGATAAATTGTAGTCTTTTATAAAATGAACTCGAATAATTAGTTTATCTATTTATAATCTCAAACTTATAATAATATTTAGTAACTGTTATGTCTATTTATTGGAAAGAGAATTAATAGTATTTTGAATTTAAAATACAATAGAGTTAGGACGATTTAAAACATCCCATTAGATATCTAGTTAAAACTATAGATTTAAAATACACGTAAATAGAGTTGACATAATTGTAAAGCTAATATTCATTTACCTCAATCATTATCGAAGCTTAAATAAAATTAGTAAAATTGAAATTTTTATACCAGTAATGAATTTTATAAGATTTAAAAAAATTAACATCTTTACTATAATTATGTTAATAGTTCAGTTTGTTTACTTTTATTAATTAGTTTATCAGTAAGTAATATTTAAATATTTATAATTTAATAAACTACTAGTTTATTAATTTAAAATTCATAAATTATGACTAATCAATTAATAAAAAGTACTTTAATCAATTAATTTACAAGTTATTTGTAACAAATACGAAAAAGAAAGTAGCATTTATAAGATTTTTTAAAAACAATACTGCCAAAGAAGTTAATACAACCTAGTTTTATAATTTATTACTGTTTGAATAGAAGATATTACCCTTTTCCTGTGAATTTGGATTCTCTGTTATGAATTTGAATTCTGTGATAAGTTTCTTTTGCCATGTCTTCAAAATATTGATGGGCATTATTTTAAAATATATTAAAAAAATTGAAGTAACAATTCATTATATTTTAATAATTTTTTGATAACAGATTATGTGTTATTATTTTATTGGTTCGTATATTTAAAACAGATCAATCACAAATTATCATATAAATTAGTGTAAAAAATTGTCAAAAAAAATTGTTAAAAAAACATTTTCCTTTTTTAATGTATAGCAAAAGACAATACTAAAAACCAATAGAAATTTTGTGTAACTGAAGGTGATGACACCAAAATTAAAATTCAGTTTTATACACCAATTTCTGAAACAAAAATTGGAGATTTAATTGGGGATCCAAAATCCATGTCTAATTTTGGAGTTTTCCAAAGCTCCAAAACCATGTACCAACCCCTAATACCTCTATAATTTTTTTCATTACAGAACTACCAAACAATCCTTTACATAATTTGACTACAGTAACATCCCAGGGCCATCAGCATAAAATGCATTCGTCAAATGGTAAACTCCAAATGCAGGTTTACTCACGTAATCATCTCTGCATTTGTACGATTTCATTGCATCAAATCCAATAGACCTGCTACTGGATAAAGAAGACGATGTTCTTTTAGTTGCAACCTCATCAGTTATTCTTCTATACGAACTAAACCACTTTGCTTGCATGTACTCAATTCTTCTCCATGGAGGTATGTACATGTCTATGCTTTTCATAGACCTTTTAATAGCATTGCACATTAATCTCACAACCTGTTTCAGTTCTTCCAATTTTCCAACAAATATTTGAGGAAAAATCTCAAGTAAAGAAGAATAATGGTTTATGGGATGAGCTATTTCAAATTCTGCCACAAGGGAGATTTCAACTATGTATCGATTTCCTGCAAAATTTACATCAATATACTCGTAGTCACCTCCTGGGAATCTTCTATTTCTTTTCCACTTGCATTTGCAAAGCCCTGTACATAAAAGAAAAACAAAAAATAATCAAAATTCATTTCATAACCCATAAATCAATGGACAAAAATAAACTTAGACTTTATCCTTTTGTGTCAATTTCACTAAATCAAAAAGTTGAAAGTTAAAACAATGAAGGTAAGCTTATTAATTTCAATTTTCCAACAAATCAAGAACAGACTAAAATACTCACCAGCATCAAAACCTCTCTCGCGCAGACTAGACATCAGTTGCGGTTTGAATTGGGGTGCCGATTTCTCGTTTTCCACAACAAGATTCAACGCAAGATCAATTTCTCTTCTAAGTATACGTTTGAAATCATCATCCCCATCATCACTGAATATCGTTTGAAGGATCTCCCTTTTCTCAGAATCAAACCACTCCAAATCCTCATCCGAGTCATCACAACCAACACCAACCGCATCTTCTTCCTCTCCCTCCTTTTCTATGAAGGATTTCACAAGGTCCGATAAATCAGTGAGATCCTCCGACGAGTACTCAGTTTCGCCGCTCTGGCATGGCCTTACTCGTGCCACGTCAGCCTCGAAGGCCGCAGCCACCCTCTCAAAGCTCACCGGAACCCTCCCCATTTCTTTGTTATGTAAATATGGGATGAATGTATATATACTGTGTATGGTGTAAATGATAAGATGTGGAAATGATGTGTACATAAAACGACCCAAGGGAAGGTAGATGGAGTCAGAATGAGAAACGAGAAACTACTTCCACCAATGTATTTATACACATTGGAATTTGAAACGGACATTTGCTTGTAGCAACCGTAGAGATTTAGTTTAATTGCCACACGAATGTGGTCCAAATGACAACATTATTTCCTGAACCAAACTGCGAAACCCGTCCAAGTTCATTTTCCCGTCTGTGTGCCATTATGGAAATTATGTATCATTTCTAGGGTAAAATAATTGTACTACCTTAACCTACAACACTGAAAGACGTGTATTGTGAAATTAATTTAGGAATTAATATTATAAAAATATTGAAATTTAAATTAAAAATAAAGACAAAAATTAAAAAGATAAGCCGAACTAAAAAGTGTTTAAGATTCATGAAAAAAAAAACTTTTTATAGTTTTTATTGTTTAAACAAGTAACATTTTACTATAAAAATAAAAGATCAATTCAAAAGAAATAAAAATATGGTAATATAAAGTTTAATGTATAGTATTAAAATAAGACTTTTAAAATGTTCATACTATTTTTCTGAAGTTAAATATGTTTTCTTATCAAAGTATTTTAAAAAATTAGATTTTGTTCTTAATATGTATATCATTGTACTTTATCAAACATTGTTCTCATGTAAAATAAAGTATAATGAATTACAAATATAAATTTTCGCACATGTTTGAAAAATAATGTTTTACATAATGTTTATAAAGTACAGGATCAAAATATATATACATATATTTATAATTTAATGATAAAATACAATTTTTAAAAGTAACAAATATATTTATAGCTTCTTTTTATTAAATTAATGTTTAGCTTCTTCCATATTTTTTCTTTAGCTTGATGTCGATTAAAATATTAGTTTAACTTCAATTAGAATTTTGTAGATTTGATCGAGATTGGAAAGTACATTCAGTATTCATTTTTAAGAGATGTCAGTAAGTTTTTTTAAAGTTAAATTCAATTAAGATTATTGATCTTTATTACAAATGTTACCTTATTGATACATAACAATGTTACTATTAATTAAAGTTAATCAAAATTCTCAAAAATGCTTTTAACTGATGTTAAATATTATATTTTAAGTTGACATGACTATATTATTTTTAAGTTAATGCAAGTTATAATTGATTTTCTACCAATATTAAAATTATTCATTATCCAATATTAATCAATTTTTTTCTCAATCAATATTGACCATATTTTTTCAGTTGATAATTAAAATATTTTTTAATATCAGTGAGATTATTTTTTACCATGATAAGTAATTTTTTTTAATCTATATTAATATAAATTATTATTTTATTGACATTATTTATTTGTCGAAATAAGATACATTTATCGAATAGTGTTTGTTAGAGTTTTTTAAATCAACATTGCTATAATTATTTTTCAGTGGACATCATCTAAAATTTTTGGTTGAAGTCCATAGGGATTATTTTATGTAAATCTGGAAATCCTATTAAATAAAGGTTATAAAATTTTTGAAATGCAAAAGAATATAACTTTCCAAATTAATTTAATAACTTAAACAATTTAAAGAAACAAACTATAACACAACCACAACCCTACAAAAAATCTCACTAACACTGTTTGAAGAGTATATATATATATATATATATATACTATTCTTCTATCTAGGAACTTAGATTTTTGTATAGTAACATTAAAATATTTGAAAAGTAGTATGCAAATTGCTTTTTACATCAATCTTGAAAATGACATATTGTTAGACTTTTGTACCTTCTTACAGTATTCAAAATTTAATTTGAGTTTGTTAATTGAAGCTCTACTATTCAGTTGCTGTCTTTCTCTGCTAATTAATTTTAACTGTTATACTTGGAACTGAGCTTGCATTTTTTATATTTTAAAACTTTTGAAAATAGTACTATCACTATTTATCAATCAAATCTTCATGCTCTAAATATTATGTTAAAATTATTTCTTTCTTCTTCTTTCTATTCATTTTTTTTGTTGTTGTTTAATTTCATTTAAAATTATAATTATGATCACTTAATATATTTATGATTTTTTGACAAAAAAAAATATAATTTATTATCCACTATTTAACTTGGATTTATATGCCTAAATATCTTATTGTTAGAGAATTTTAACAAATCATAATCTCATGACATCAAGTAATTCTTTAACTAGTCAGACCGTATGAATTCCTAGTTTTAAAAAGAGGATTTCTTCTTTCAAATATTGATAATTATTCATAATGTCTCACCATATTAAAGTCATAGTAAGTTCAGATCCACCAAATTATTTCATGAACCATTTAATTTTTTTTACAGAAAATACGTTTTTAAACAAAAAATTGGAAGATTGTATTATGCATGATGCATCTATATCTATAATATTATCTAAAGAGATTTCCTCTTTTGGCACATTTTGCTCTCATTTTATTCTTTAAATATTTTTTTACATCAAAATGATTACTTTATAAAAATTTTAAAATAACTTTCATTTTAAAATTTAATTATTTTTTGAAATTTTACTATTATTTTAAATTAAAATAACTATTTATAATAAAAAATTATCCACAAAATAAAAATTACTTACAATAAAATTATAAAAATTATTTAAATTTATTTGTATAATTATAATAATAATTTTATTATTATAAAAAAAAGCGCCTGTGTTTTTAATAGTAATTATAATAATTGTAACTCTGAGAAAAAAAATGTTATAATTTTTTTTGACATATTTATGTATTCTTAATTTTAGATTATTTTAATTTTGATCATAGAGATTTTTATAATAATTTTTATTATATTAATATATATGAGAGTTTAACAAAATTGAAGCATATTTTTTTAAAGTTTTTCATACTGTTATTATGTCAATTACTTTAAAAGATATAATAGTATATAATATTAAAAGTGTGGATAATATGAACGGATTAGTGATGTTAAAAGTGTTTTCATTTACTAGTATACATGAAAATGAAAAAAAAATCTTATATATGTATGCAGTTGATGATTTATATTAAATAATCGTTTAAAATTAATTTGCATTTTTTTAATGATATTTTGTAGTTGGATAAATTTGTGCCCAATTATAATGGAGTTTAATTATGTATTAATAATGTCATTATGTGATTTAAGCATATTTAAATATCTTAATTTTATATATGGAATTTCTAATAGTATTAATCAATAACAGGTAAGATGTAAGGATGGTAAATAAACTTTTTTTTTATATTGTTCGAACTCACTTTTATTTTAATAAAAAAATGTCGTATTAACTGAGTATAAATATAGATAATATTTGATTTTTTTTTTCATTTGCTAAGAAAGAAAAATAAATATGTATAAATAGATATATCTTTGTCATTAATATGTCTCATACACATTGATATACTCTTCTTCGTCATCATCTATCTATCTATATATATATATATATTAATTAGTGTTTGCATCTTAAGGTCGAGAAACAAAAAGTAATAAAAAAATAATGTAATATTGATGGATATACAAGATGCATCTAATATCTTTTTTCTTCTTTTTCTCACTGCCATTACAGGTTATATATAATAAAGAACCAATTATAACATGAAGTAAGGTGGTAGTTAAGTTAGAATTTTGATGTTGAAACTTAAACTTTTTTAAAACCTTCCATATCTGAATAAACTTCCAGACTTTTGTTAACATGACCTAATTTTATTGAAATATAGTAATTATATGTAAAACGACAGCCTATTATAAAAAAATAACGAAAATCACACCTAATTTTTTAATTCAAAGTTTCAAATCTGTTTGTATTAATAAACGACAAAAAATTAAAATTCAACCTTTTTTTTTCAAAGTAAAAAGAGTTTGCCTCCAATTTGAATAAATTAAATAATCACATATAAATTTTAAAATATTAGACAAGTCAAACACAGAGTTTTTGGTCATGCTTACTTACCAGTATAAAAAATGATCAGGTCGAAAAGGAAATCGAAATTGACAAATCTCATCTATATCCAGATTGAAGTACTTATCTTATTTCTCTCTCATTTGTTGCTGAAAATTGGCTGCTGCATGGACTTTACATAAAAGCCAACAGTCACAGATAGTAATATAGTTTGTTGCATGGAATTGAGACTAAGTTCAAGGAATCCTAAATCAGTGTCCAGATGCATTGAATCTTAGCTTGGGTAGAAATTGCTACCACCACGCTAGAACATAACTAGTTTCTCCAACTTTTCTCTACAAGTTACAGTATACAATAATGTTTGCAATCTTTGAAAATACGCACTAATTATAGCTACTGAAGTCCAAAGTTTTTATATATATATATTTTTTTAAGTTTCTATTCTGATGTCATTAGTGTGTGATAAAAAAATGTGTTTCCTTTTCCTCTTGATAGTAATTTAAGGTGGTTAATAAAATCTCAATTGGATTAATAAAAATTGTTAGAAAATTATTAAAATGCTTTTGTAGCTTTATTTTAGTATTATATATTGTTTTAAATTAATTAATTTAATAAAAATATTAAATTAATATTTTGTTTTATTATTGAAGCATTGCTGCTATCATCCACGCTACCGTTGATTCCATTGTTAAAAGCTTTTTGTCTTACTGTTTTATTTAGGAATGGTTGAAATTATTTTTAAATGGATTCAATTTATCAAACACAGAGACACACGTTAAAGATATTCAATTGTCGTATTTTTAAAAGAGGTTATATATCAGAACAACTCTAATTTTCAAACTCTAGATCATTACATGATTACAGATATCCATGACTACTGAAACTAGTAAAACAATATTGTAAAATTTGTAGTTTAATATTTTAATGTTGTCCTTATTTTTAAAAAACATCTCAATTTAGTCTCACCCCTTTTAAAATTATTTAACTCATATTTTGATCATAAGAATAACTTAAAGTGAGACATTGTTTTTATGTGTGTTAATATGTGTCAAATGAGAAAAGTATTATTGAAGAGTTTCATACAAAAGTTATCTTCACTTTTCAAATGGTTAATATTACTTGTTTTCTTCAAAACATTTCC